GGGAAAACCCTCCTCCCGATGTTTTCATGCAGCAAAACAGAGCGGGCGCGGTAGCCCCTTGCCGGTTCTATGTTAGTGCAACACTCTGCAGCCGCGGATACGGCATGCTGCTGATCTTGCTGGTGCTTTGTTTGGATTTGGAACAACCCTTGCACTCGTCAAGCACGCTTGCCCCGGCACCATTGGTTTATGCATCTGAATCATCATTTCAATTTTCAAATTGAGCAGTAGTTGCTGCTCTCTCTCCGCTTGAGCCTTGAGTGTTTAATTTTTAGGGTTGGTTTTTCATTTTGTTGGAGAAGATAAGGGCCCGTCCTGTAACGTTTTCGGAGAATGTTTTCTGAGAGTATTTTCAGAGAATGAAACATGAAAACAAATTTGCATTTTCAGGAAATGAAAATGCGTCTGGTAAATTAATTAGAAAACATCTTTAGAAAACAAAAATAATGAAAACGTGTCTGGTAGTACAATTATTTTTTAGGTTTATTTTTGCTACTTTCAGTTCTAATTTTTTTTTTAATGATATTTTTATAGGCTAAAATTATTATAAACAATGAAAAAAAATTAAAGCACAAAAACTATCTTATCTCATTTCTTTTTTCTTTCTTTTTTTCTTCTTTTTCTCCTTTTATCTCTTTCCTCTTCTTTTCTTCTTCTTTTGCTTCGCAAGTCTGTTTCTCTTTTTTTTCATGTTTCCTTCTTTCTTCCCCTTTTCTTCTTCCTTTCATTCCCAGGCTGCACCCACTCCTCCTTCCTTCCATGACATGAATCCCATACACCCACCTATCTTTCTCTCTCTCTCTCTCTCTCTCCACTAATTAATGGTTGTGGTGGTTTGATTGGGTGATGATGGTGGTTGAGCTGGGTATGCAGTGGTTCTTCTTCCTGTCTCTGTTTTTCTTTTCTTTTCTTCTTCCTCTGTATTTTTTTTTTCTTAGTTCTCATATTTGTGTTATTTTGGGTTGGAGAAGATGAGTGTTGTTCCTGTTGGTGGGTTTATCAGTTGTCAAGAGAAAGAGCTAGAGTTGTTGATGGGATGCATTCTTGTGTCTTCAGAAAACACTGAAAACGAAATCACTGAAAACAACTTTTTTTCGTTTTGAACTTTTGTTCACAAAGTAAGATTTGTTTTCAGAAAACATTTTGTGAGGGAAAACGAAAACGATGCACCGAATGTGTATTTGTGAAAAACATGAAACAAAAACAAAAAACAGGCTCTAAAAACACTACCGAACGGGCCCTAAGCCTCGGAACCAAATCACCCACTTTTGGGCTTGTTTCTCAACATAAAAGTCCATGGGTCAAAGTTGTGGCTGCTACCAATTGGGTCTGATGGGTGGACGTTGGGTTGGTTTTTGACAATGGGCATATGGCGTTTTAATATTTACCCTTCAAGACCACAATCAGAGAATTCATATGGGCTACGGTTGCCAATAATGGTCCTCTCCGTATGGAGAAAAGGAGGGGCCCAATGGGAGTAAAAAAAACTTACTTGTAATGGGAAAAACACTGTTTTGTTATCCCTAATTAATAACGTAATGACACGTGAAAAAGTTATCACACAAGTCATTGTGTTATTGGTCAGGCATAGCAAAAAGTGTTAAAGAGTTTATCTCCAATGAAAGGGGCCTTTTGGATTGATTGATGGGCAATTGAGCCTTCCACCATACCATCCAATATAATTTAATCAATTCAAGACAAGATGCTATTTGTCCACCTTTCTTTCACTCCATGCACTGCTTTTCATATCATATAATTTGAGTTTGTTCATCTCATTAAGCTGATATGTGGACCCTAATTTGTTTTAAGATCTCATTATTGATTAAAAAAAACAGCATAAAGCAGAAAACAAAAGAGGGGGGGAACTTCACTTTATTTGATACTTGTTCACAAATCTTTTGCTAAATATGGATTGGTTTGGACCTCTAGACTACACGCAACATGGAGCTATTCTTTTTGTTTGAAAAGGAAATGCTTCACCATATATACATGGTGATGGTGGTGGTGGTGTGTGTGTGTGTAAGTACTGAGAACTAATAGCTGATGAAGCTACAAAGCACAACTTTTTTTCACCTAGCTAGCTTGATGTGGGATTTTACTTTTCTTGGCAAGCTTAAGATTCTTTGGTGAGAAAGGCTACATTTCTTGTTTTCTATTGCAAACAAAGGAAGAAGATCGAGTTTCTTGTCTAAATGTGGTAAAACTGTGTCTCAACCTGTGTATTGTATAGACTACAAAAATATATATAGATCTTTGCTTTTCATAAAGTCGTAAGAAAAATGTGTAAGTTGTAAAACCCACTAAATCATTTCCAACTATAGTCACATCAAAATTCAAAAAAAAAATAAAATAAATAAAATACATCCACCCAAAAAGGAGGAGGAAGAAGAAAAGGATAAAAATATTAGTAGGCTAGTAACGACAAAAATCTTTAGTGTACATATGTTTCCATTTTTGTTAAACAAAAACAGTGTCCTTCCATTGCTCGATTATAGCATCATCAAATTTTTCGTACAATTTGTAGACTTTATTGTTACCTCAAAGGTTAAATCCTAAATCTTCATATCCAAAGTCCAATTTTGAACACAACACTTCATAATTATGTGTACTTGAGATTTGAAACTCCGAACTTTAAATTTTGAAAATCGATTTCATTCTTTACTTTATTCTGTTCATCTCATTTCATTAATCTATTCAGACCACCAAACATTATCTAATTAAGAGGTCAATGTCTAAATCATTTCAAAACAACCGTTGCAAAGTAGTGATATCAAATCTTTCAAAGTTTTTCAAAACAACCCTTGCAAAGTAGTGATATCAAATCTTTCAAACTTTCAAGCAAGGCATTATATATGTGTTTGTACATGTGGATGTGGTCATGTTTATGTAAGACCCAATAACCAACACGGATTACTTAAAGCCAAAACCTATCTGTACAATATTAAGAGTGCTGTGAAAGCCAAGGCCAGCCGATAGCTGAATGCCACCAACTTAGCTCCATATTACCCTACAAATAATTACACCAACTTCTTCACAGGCCTACAATGATTATATTGCAAAATAGAAGTTTGTAGTTGACTTACTCCAACGTACACAAACCAACTGCTACATTTCCTCTAAATTTGTTTTAAGCGCGTATGTTTTTTTTTCACCAAATGATCGAAAGTACTTGAATTTAATAATTTAATTGAGTAGTCAAATGATATCAAATTTGAGCGATTTTTTTATAGAGACGATCTTTGAATGAATATCTATAAAATATACGATTTGAATTAGTAAAATACAATGCGTTATGGGCCCTACAAGGATGTTCATCAAATAAACTTATTTGAACATCTCTCAATAAAAACTCTTATATATATATATACGAGCTTTATATTTTATCTGTGAGACTGTGACCATTTCAATTTATATTGACTTTTCTGATTGACAACCACATGTGTCTTTGTCCCTCGGGTCACTTTAATATTTTAGGTGGTGGCGAAATATAGGCACATGTTATCGCCCCACCGTGTATCTGTCTCAGCCTTGTTTCCTCACTTTGATAATTTCATATGGTGGAGGCTCGTCATGCTTGCTTCTGCATCTCCATTACTCATGCTTTAATTCATCAACTCCACCATCATTCATCAAAAGTGAATAATTGTTTGCATGAAATACATATTATATATGGTGGTTTTCATTAGCTTTTAAAAAAGTTCATGCTACCACTTCATCTTCAATATTCGTCGATATTAATGTATTCTTTTGTTTGATAAAAAGTTAGTCGTAAGATATATCTCAGCTATTGTATTATATTTACTCCTTTCTACATAATTTAGACGAAAATTCTTCTCCACAATATATCTTTTTTGCTATCCCTTAATTTATTTTTCAGCTGGAAAGTAGGTTAGATTTGAAGAGCATCTCTTTGATGTTGAAATTTTATGAAGTTATGATTGTCCTTGATTTGATACAAAGAGAAGAGAATTGTGGTCATTTTCTAGAGCGTGGGCTATCCTCTTAATAATTAGATCTTAGGTATACACTTAGACGAGTGGTTGTCACAGTTTCCAGGGCCACAGCAACCTGTCTTTAACTATCAATTTGGACCCACGGAAATATAAAACTTGAATCTCCATTGGGTTGGTCATTCTGTGCTAAACAATCATCGCTAATTCCGGCCATAAAATCAATCACCAGCAATATCTACTCAAATTGTTGTCACATCTCTTATAAATGTGGAACTCACATAAAATTTCTTCTATTCAAATCAGTTTTGTAAATGTGAAAAATATCTCAATTCTCTCGTTACTTTAACTACAAATTGTCAGTGATGTATAACTCAATTGGTTAAATTCTTTCATGTCCACCTATGTGGGCAGAGATTTAAAACTCCGAGTCACCAAATGAATATTTGTGTAAACCCCTCTCCCCCAATTGCTTGTGCTAAAAAATAAGGCCAAAAGTTACTTTTGGTCCCTATAGTTTGGCACTTCAACTACTTTTGGCCATGTTGTTTCAATTCCGTCAATTTTTTAGCTTGTAATTTCGTATTTGTAACAATTCAAGTACAAGTTAGTATTCCTGTCAATTTCTTTGACAGCACAAGGGGCAATTTCATCAACCCAAAATTCTTGACCGTAAAAAACTCTCCCCATTTTATATTAGGGCTCAAAATTGACCAAATTTGAATTTAAAATCCCAATCTTTAAAGAACCCTAAACTCAAAAGGTCAATTTCGAGCGGGGAAAAAAACTAAGAGCTGGAATTTATTTGGCTTATAAGTCCGGCAGGACAGTTGAGATATCATTTCCAAAGACCAATCGAGCTAGGTTTTCAACTTTTCCTGGTTTATGTAAGGACAAGAATTTTCTACTTTGAATTCCACTATTAATTGTTGATGGAACCTGCAATTGATATGAGAGTGAGCCACGTTTACAGAATGGACTTGAAACTTTATTTATATATCCAAAAGAGCCTAACCTTTCTTCAGTCTTCCTCCTTTTTTATTTATTTTGGCAATAGTATAATTGAACTTTGCGATCAATTTTCTAGTGACGTGTTACGCAGCCATTAGCCGACAACATGAATTCGATTGTCGATCGATCTTTCTTCTCTTAGTAAACCCAAACATAGAAAATTTCTCTAGTGGGTTAAACGAAGGCTGCTCAATGCTAGCTCATGCCCTCTTTATCTCTTCTACACTAGTGCCTGCTGCCTATATAGCTAGTGCCATTCCACGCACGCACCTATATAAATATACCTACTAGGGTTAGGGTTAGGCAGGCACCAAACAACCAATCCAAAACGTATCCCCTTTTTTTGAGCTCACCAATAATCCTTAATTGGATGATTAAGCTTTTGAAGAGACTTGCTGCTCTGAGGTTCAATTCCACTGACACAAAGAAGAATTAGGGTTTTTGAAGCATGAAGAAGCGCCAAGTGGTGGTGAAACAGGACAGCTCGAGGAGGAGCTCGAGCACTTCGTCTTCCATGGTGAGAACTGTGAGGTATGGTGAGTGCCAGAAGAACCATGCTGCAAATTTAGGAGGGTATGCTGTGGATGGGTGCAGAGAATTCATGGCAAGTGGTGAGGAGGGGACAACTGAGGCTCTTACATGCGCTGCTTGTGGCTGCCACAGGAATTTTCACAGAAGAGAAGTGGAAACTGAGGTTGTTTGTGAGTATTCTCCACCCAACACTTATCGGTAGTCATAGTAAAATTTGAAGGGCATTAATGAAATCGTGTGTATAGGAAGAAGGGCCTTTTAATTTCTGAAATTAACTGATTGTGAATTGTTCTCTCTACTTGTATATCATTGTCAACAGACATGACTCTGAAGAGATTATCAAACTTTAATTTGATTGTTCAATAGAAAACTGTTCGTAGGGTTTTGAACACTGTGATGCCCCTGGCCACTAGCAGGCTGTACGTCGACAGCTAGCGGTTGTTAATTTTGGTCCGAACAAAAACAAGTTCCTATATATGTTGATATATTGTGTGTACATGTTCTTGAGAGATATGGCCATGGCTTCAGTTATATATTAGGCTTTATTAATTAGTTAAGCTTAATCTTTTTGGTTACATTGGGAGGAAAGAAACCCTGGGGTTTCGATTCTGGGTGCCAAGTATGGGGCATGGGGGCGGGCCACAACCACTGTGGTAACCCTACTTGACGTTAAGTTGAACCTTTCATGTAAGCAAAACCATGATTTTTGTTCTCTCTATTTGTTTGAATATCTTTGAAAATTAAAGAAATGAAAGTTAACTGTCATACTTCAAGCTCAACTATGTTATTTGTGTACATAACATTAGTTTAAATGGAATATAGACTTCGAAAAGAGCAGAAGCTCTTGTATCTATATACACCAAATTGGAGGGGAAGGGTGATTGAAACAAGGATGAAATTAATGTTTGTAAGGACATAGGTGCTGTGTATATCAGCATAATCTCCTTCTTCATCGACAGATTATAATTATTTTTAGCTCCACAAACATTGATCATAAGAATGACTTTTCTTTCAACACATACTGTAATATGTTATAACTTGTGAAAGGCCCACACATCCAATCATGTTATCATATCACATTTAATTTTTTAATTTTTTATTTATTAAAATCTGTCACTAAGATTAAAATTACAGAAATTATAGTGTTACAGTACTGCGAAGTGTCCCTCCTCTCTACTTTTCGGTGGTCTCGTGAGTGGAACTTGTTGGAAGCCAAATGAAAGACAGATAATAAAGGAAATTCAAAGCAACATTATAATTAAATAAGTTGAACTAGTGGAAGCTATGCTGCAATGTCTTTGGAGAGATTTGTCCCCTTCCCCACCTACCCACTTAACCCATATGTTTAACGTGGATTTGTGAGATGCCCTGTTAGGTAATGCGTAGGGGGGCGGCCAGCCATGTCAAGAAATTAAGGAAAAGATCACCAACACAAACACACACCCTTTTACTCTTTATGAAGAAATTTATGAGCTGATGGCATCATTTGCAGCTCGAAGGGTTAGGATATAGGGAATAGGTTAAATTTTGAAAGGCTAGTGGAAGATGTTAGTGCGTAGATCCTTAATTATTGATTAATCAAGAAAATATGAAGAGCTTTAGGGCATCATATAGTGAAGGAATGGAATGAAATGATCATGTGTCTTAGCAGAAGAAAATATTATGCTATCTCATGTGGTAACATCATGATGACCAAGTTTTATATTGTGCTTAATGAAGATATAATAAGGTTTCCTTTTATTGATTAAGTGGAACTTTGAAAGTTGTTCTTCGACACGCACATTGCGATCCGATCGATAAAAAAGAATGAATATTTCATATATTATATCAAGGCCAGGAGCAGAATCATTGCCGCAATAGTATAGTGATTAGATTGGTTGAGTCATGTCCAATATGAAAACCATTTCAGGATCAACTAGTCGTTACAATATCCATCGTTGCTCATCTTTCGTTATCTTGGTTTTATTTTCTTTCTTTCTCCTTCTCACTTTTCCAATGAATTTTTCATTATAAATTCCTAGTGTCGTCCTATGTTGTGCACTTTTTTCTCATGACCTACAGGCAAATTGGATGGTGGCAAAGTCTATCCAATCCATGATTGTGGTTTTGTTTATTCATGGAGTGTTTGTTGTTTACATGTTCTGGTGACCCACCCCCATCATCCCTTGGACAGATTTATATTGTAATTAGGGTTACATATCGTATGTTCCAGTATGATCAATGATCATGAGTATGAAATAGAGATAATGCACAAGCTTCTTACATATCTGTAACAGATCAGTCAGTCTATTAAACAATTCAAATGATTTACTCACAACCAAAATATATGTATATATCAGCACAACACAGCAGGGCAGCCTTGGGAAACCTAGCCCAAGTGTAGTACATTGCACATTTTTTCTGTTACTTAAAGTTAAATGTTTGTGTTTAATCGATTCTATCAAATTATATGCTGTTGTTGCATGTTGTTGCTTCAAGCTGATTCAAAATTGGAGCAATACAAGCTACCAAAGAAATCAAAGCTGAGCTACTTTTTGTTTTTGTTTTATCGTGAAGGAGAGGGAATCGATACAAATTCTCGAATGCATTGACAGATAGCTAACACATTGCTCGTCATTAAGCTAGTTGAGTTGAAATATTGATTGGATACAAATACAATGACCCCTTGCACTTCTAAATTAACTAGAATAATATATTAACAAAGAAAAGAAAACGAAAACGAAAAACCCAATGACCTATTTGAAGGAGAAATACTTACATGAAATGGGGGTAGTACTATTTTGTTATTTCCGGCCAATTATGATATGTCACGCATGATAACTTTTTTACGTTACAGTCTATGATTTGTCAAAAATAACAAAACAGTAATATCCTCGTTTCATATAAGTTTTTCCGTATTTAAAGAAGACGAGGTGGCCGAGTGTACAAACTACATTATAACTGATTGAAAGAAACATGACATCTCACCAGACGCAAAGAAAGAGCACTTACATGATTTTGGGAGAGATCAAAAAATGACAGGAGCGCGCAAGCAGATAGTCCAAAAAGTCTAGTGGGGCCCACCTTTGGGCCTAACTTACAATGGGGCCTGCATTGCCCCTGACCTGATCTTTGAGGCCCAATCTCATCACCATCAAACTTTCCTAGGTCCACCCACCATAAGAACAAAAAAACAAACACAAACAGACAGGAGGGGATGGATTTTGAATCTTACAGCGCAATGTGGGTACTGGCGGTGTCGTTTTGGGTAAAGTCATGTGCTCGCTTCAGATAAGGTCACATATGATCACATGGCTCTCAATCTGAATCACAATCACAATCACAATCTCAAACTCCTCCTGCTGCTGCTGTGGACCTGTGGGCCCGGACCCACCCCATTCAATTATTAGGTTAGGTCACCAGCCCCAATCTGGCATGTACTTTGCCACACCAGATTTTTCTCACACCACCTACCCTCAGATCTTGCCACGTCACCAATCTTGCATCTTAATCCCCTGCTTGCTCTCTTTTTGTGGACCACCCACACTGCAGTTGATGACATTCCCATGTTACTTACCGCATTTTTGAGAAATTACCTGCAAGCCCTTCCAAAAATTATCATAAAGTATATACTAGATAATAAAAAATTTGTTTCAAATCACATAAAAAATAATGAACTTAGGAATTTTCTTTGTTTTCTGAACATGGACAATTTTGGAATATGAGTAACACTGATAAAAACCAGGTACTTTAATATTTGTATTTTTGTATAAAATAAGGTAATCATACAATTCAATTCATGGCAAAGAAATCTATATAAAGCCAATGCTTACACTGCATTCTAAATCAAGCCCCACAACTCCTTCCATCCTTGTTTTGTTTCTACTTCCAAAGAGGCAATGGCCATGGCTAAGCTTGTCTGCTTTCTTCTTCTAGCTCTCCTTGGGATTTCCATGGTTGCAACACAGGTGACCATTTGAAACCCTAATCTCAACTGCACTATTTCTTACTCAATTTCTCTCTCTTATTTTTATTTTTTCCTTCCAATGTTTGCAGGTTATGGCAAAACAAGAAGCCCAGTATCACTTGGACAGTGTAAGTAGTTCCTATTCTTAATGGAGCATGATTTCATAATTTTGCAGTCTGCATTATGGCTAAAATGGTCATTTTCTGTATTTTTTTTTCTCTTTCTCCAGGGAAGGTATGGTCCTGGGAGTCTAAAGAGCTACCGTAAGTACCATCACTAGAACATCCCTCCCAATTTCTCGCCTAAAATGCAGATTAATTAATTTTCTGCCCTTAATAAATGATGTGTTTTTAATTAAGCTCACAATCGAATTACCAGAATGCCCATCACAATGCACAAGGAGATGTAGCCAGACACAGTACCACAAGCCATGCATGTTCTTCTGCCAAAAATGCTGTGCTAAGTGTCTCTGTGTTCCTCCTGGTTACAATGGCAACAAAGCTGTGTGCCCTTGCTACAACAACTGGAAGACCCAGCAAGGAGGACCCAAATGCCCTTGAGCAACCAATTTTGTTTGGTTTCTTCTCCTTAAGAGAGCTACCAAAAATAATCAATATTTAAGCACAATTTTATAAAGCATTTCTTCTTCTCTAGGTCATAAAGTTCACTGACCTGTTGAGAATATTAATTTAATGGTAGTCCATTCCTTTGGGATATATGGTTTTATAACACCCCAAAATGAGAGCGTTGACAGAATTTATGTTTTAATTGTATTAATAAAATAAGATTATTCTATGTTCTCCGTTGCACACTAGTGGTCTTCGGTTCGAACTCACATATCACCATTAGTGTGTGTGTGTGTATGAGAAACTCCCTCCCTCTATAGTTTAGACCATCACTTGAAGTTTGAAAAAAGAAACTAGCAACAAAAGATAATCATCAAAACTTTGAAGGGAAGAAAAAAGAATACTATAGTTGCATTGCCCCTTCACACAATGTGCATCAAGCTTCAATTTCTTACTTGGGATTATCTAATGGAAGACTAGCTTCTAAGTAAGAAATATTCGGCTCTGTTTTTGACTCTTGAAAAGTGTTTTCAGTTGAGTGGGTTGTTCAAAGTTGAACTTCGGCTAAGCCCAAGACTTTCCTCCTAATTGAAAAGTCTCTTCTCTACTTCGATGCAAATTTCCACCTTAACCATTTTGATTGGTGAGAAATGATTTTTATCAAATTCTTCATAAGAATTGCACATCACACTTCGATTTCAATACTGAAACAAGGCTTTTTGGACCATTCATAAGGTTGATTAAAACAACTACTATAGTGGTTATTTTTCTTTTTCTTTTTTATCATAAAAATGCATTTTTTAACTTCTTATTAAAATCAATGTTGCACCAAAAGAACGTCGTTTTTGTTCAAAGTTTTCTATATCTTAGATGTATATGTTATTTTTGGTAAGATGATAATATTTGGTAACTATATTTGACAATTGTAAGGGATACAAATCATTAATCATACCTTATTAGGCAAGCAACTGAAGTTCATTTTGGGAGTGTAATGACTAGGAGGATAGGGGGAAATATTGTAATAAATTACCTTTTTTATTGGTCTCCTCAATAAAATCAGCTTGTTTCAACCATATTTTTCGCAATGTTTTCTGAGCCAACAGAAAAAAAGCCAGGTTTTTTGCAATGCAATCTGGCTGAATACTTGATGATTGACGAGAGTGTTGATCATAGCAATGAGCATGAAAACCTTATTAATAGCCATGAGGACGAGCGCATCATAGCAAGGCTCAAAAATCAAAATGACGCGAGAAAGGTTCGTAAAGTCATGAGCTTTCTGTTTCCATCGCATGAACAACCAAAAGGATTAGTATAAAGTTTTTTTTTTTTTTTTTTTAAATAAAAAAAAATGATAATCAAAGGCCATTGCCCGCAAGAAAGGTTAAGAAATTTATAATAAAATATTAATGGACTTTGTTCAAAGGCCCTCTGTGTATTAGAGAAACCTCCAACTTGGTCCAGTTGAAGCCTGAAAATATATTTGCATGCCACGAAGTTTCAGAATCCCAGTTCATCAGGTACGCTCTTTTTGCTACTTCTAATCTACCCATTTCATGAAAGCATAATTCTTTGAAAACCCAGATGAGAAATTTCTTATTTTTGATTATTCATGCTCCTTTTTAGTTTTTCTTTTTCTTTTTTCTCTTTTTGCGGCAAATTTTCATGTAGCTCAGCTGCTCAAGAATCCAAATAATGCGTTCTAGTAATCAGCTGCAAGAAGTACTCTACTTAAGTGTTTATTCACTCTCTGCAGATTTATCACTTGCTTTTGCTCAGTTGCTCTGGCGATGATTTCAAGAGAGAGGCTCATGGATTTTTCAGAAACTCAAGGTTTTGTGTGCAGTAAGTTCACAGATTATCCATGGCCTTGAGAAAATAGAAAGCTTTCTCCTTGAATTGATGGTTGTTGTTTTCGTTAGAGATAAATAGTGTCGCAACCTGTTTTGAAAGAATTACAAAATTTAGGCTTCATATTCAAGATGGGTGTCTCTCTGTCCATGTTTCTGGAATGGGTGTCTCTCTGTCCATGTTTCTGGAAGCAAGCTGCTCTGTTAAGAGGCTGAATTGATGGGCATTGCCTTGTTTTTCCCTTTTCCTTCTAGACAATTGATGGGGATTAATGTTTCAGAGCAATAAGATGGTTTTTGATCTCTAGGAGAAGTAACATAGATTGCATACCTTCTTTTTGTTCAATTGCCGTTGTTATCTTGTTCAACTTGAAAAACTTGGTAAATTTCATCAATGTCAGAAAAGAGTAGGCTTCCCTCAAAATTTCTTTTCTACTTGATAACAGTTTCTGTGTTCCTTTTAATCCTTTCTTCTGTCTTCTTACTTCAATTTAGCAAAACTTCTTTTACACCCAGTTCAGTGTTTAAGCTTATTCTTGTTAATGGCACATCAGTGTACTTTGAGCCCCTTGTAAAAAGTAAGCAGAAACAACTTCCTTTCCTGTCCTCTGAGGTTTCCGGAGTTGATGCTATAAAATCCTCAAAAAGAAGTGAATTGGCCTGTCAAGTTTCCAATTCAAGCAAGAAATTGGGATCTTTAAGAAAAATGAAAACTATGGCCTGTGATTCAACTCAGGCACTCTTGAGGGTGTTCATGTATGAGTTGCCTCCTGAATTTCACTTTGGGCTTTTGGGTTGGAAGGGAAAGGAGAATCAAACATGGCCAAATGTCAGTATCCCAAGTCGCATCCCACCTTACCCAGGTGGCCTGAATTTACAGCACAGTATCGAATACTGGCTCACCCTTGATCTTCTGTCCTCAAATATCCCAACTGTGGTCAGACCTTGCACGGTAGTTAGGGTGCACAATTCAAGCGAAGCAGATGTTATTTTTGTGCCATTCTTCTCATCTCTGAGTTACAACAGGCATTCTAAGCTCCATGGAAAGGAGAAAGTCAGTGTCAACAAGATGTTGCAGAACAAATTGGTGCAGTTTTTGAAAGGTCGGGATGAATGGAAAAGAAAGGGTGGGAAGGATCATTTGATAGTTTCTCACCATCCAAATAGCATGTTGGATGCAAGAAGGAAATTGGGCTCTGCCATGTTTGTGCTTGCAGATTTTGGAAGATACCCAGCTGAAATAGCAAATCTTGAGAAGGATGTAATTGCTCCTTACAGACATGTGGTGATGACTGTTGACAGCAGCAAATCAGCCTCATTTGAGGAACGTCCTATACTATTATATTTCCGAGGAGCCATATACAGAAAAGATGTATGTTATTTTCTTCTTTTACCTCTTGTCATGAATTATATAGTCTTTAATATTCAATTTGTTTTCAATTGGTGATAGGATGCATGATGAAATTTGTTTTGATTAGCTCATATTACCCAGAATTTGATAGTGGAATGAGTTATCCGGCCATTAGGATTTCCTGGAAAAGGGCTATCTCATATAGAGGAGCAAACAAGTCATTTCATTATATATGGAATTTAAATGCATAAATTAGTCCTTTGATGCAGGGCAGTCTCCAAAACTGATTGCTAATTTGATATGCTAATATATCCCAACTCCAATGAAGCAACAAAGTGTTTGAATTATGACTGACATTATCCATTTCATAATCATATCATTTATTCTGAATTCTGATGCGCTCTTGTCATTATTGCTGGCTCTTGTTTCCAAAAGGCAGGGTTTTTATTTATTTATTTATTTTTATTTTTATTTTTTATTTATATTTTGCGGAGCTTCCCTTCTTCCTTTACATCATACACTATTGTTTTAGCAATTATCAGTTTAGAATTTCCAGATAATATGTTAAGTAATCTTTACTTTGAATTCATCCAGGGAGGAGTAATTCGCCAGGAATTGTATTATATTCTCAAAGATGAGAAAGATGTACACTTCACTTTTGGTAGTGTTCAAGGAAATGGTATTAACAAGGCAAGCCAAGGAATGGCCTCATCAAAATTTTGCCTCAATATTGCTGGTGATACCCCTTCCTCAAATCGCCTATTTGATGCTATTGCTAGTCATTGTGTCCCTGTGATTATTAGTGATGAGATTGAGCTACCATTTGAAGAGGTCTTAGACTACTCAGAGTTTTGCATATTTGTTCACGCGTCTGATGCTGTTAAGAAGGGTTACCTACTGAATCTTCTTCAAGGAATCAAGCAAGACAAGTGGACCAAGATGTGGGAAAGGTTGAAGGAAATTGTACATCAATTCGAATATCAGTATCCATCCCAGCCTGGTGATGCCGTTGATATGATTTGGCAAGCAGTTTCTCATAAAATATCCTCTATACAATTTAAATTTCACAGAAAGAAGAGATATGACAGGTCAACTTCTGGTATAATAACGAAATAACAATCACCGTTTGAAATGCGAGTCACTAAGATCTCTTGACCTTGCACCCCAGGGGAAACATGAAAGTTTTGCTGAAGGTGGCATATAAGAGACGGAGACTAGTTGAGAAGATATCTGTAAGGGATTTTGTCTTTGACAATATATATCCGTACCCATTGGTTATGTTGATCTACTTTGTAGATAGATAATAATTTTCAATCAAATTATTTATTTTTGAATTTTAGAGTGTAGAATTAGTTCCATTTTTGTTGTTACTATATGTGAAACTTTGATTGTATTGCATGTGAGAATGTGAAGGTCAAAAATGTCTCACTAGTGTGGTTGCGAATCAAACTGGAACCTAGTTTTAGAGAAATGTCAACCTTCGACCTCATGGCTTGAATTTTTATAAATGCTTTATTATAATTATTTTCCTTTTACTTGAGCATGCATGGAAGAGCTCAACAAATAAATGAGGATGCAAAGACAGCAGCAACATTACCTGTGAAACACTCAAAGTTGTGGCTATAAAATGCAAAATCACAAACATAGAATTATAGCAGTCCTTTCTTTTATAGAGAATTCAGAAAATGCATGTAATCTGTGAGTGCCAGCATCATCATTCTCAAAGTATTCGGCTATTGGTTAGGACCTATGTTTATACAATAGAGATGATGCTAGCTCAATGATTGGTTTTTCAGCTGCATTTCTTCAGCTCAACAACAAAAACTTTCGACTAAAACAAACGAAAATATATAATTCTAACCAACCAACTTTGAGAATCTATAAAGGAAGAGGAAGCCCACCACCCTGTTGAACCCTTTTGTATTAGTTATAGCACAGCTGCTTCTTTTGCATGAAAAAACTTAGCTGCCTTCTTCTCCCCATAGGAAGCTGCATCAGCATGTCAACATCTGTTGTGAATCGGGTCTGATCCTTTTCGAACTTTTCTCTTGTTCGATTGATTTGGATCAAATGTCATTGAAGGTGCAGGAGCCAAACTCAGCTTCGCTTGCAAATCCTCTACAGCAACAGCCTTAACAAGATGCAAACTTTTAAGAAATGACATGTGCCCTTTGTCCCATCTGAGAGCCAAATCCATGCTTCTTAAGCCAGAAACCTTTTCTGGCTGGAGAGCTAAAAACCCAATACAGACAAAAAGAACAGCACTCCTATAAGCCAAAAAACCCATGCTTTTAATGCTTGTGCTCTGCAAAATGATGAAATATGTATGTGTAGGAGGTATCTGTGTTTCAAGCAATGATAAGAGAATGAGTAGTGTGCCTCAAACTTTGTTCCTCCCTGTGGTTCATTTCCTGTAAGAATAAGCCAAGGGTATGTCTTTTATGGGATTTGGAAGGCTAAAAGCATAAAGCACAAAGAGGCCCCAGAAGGCCAGAATATGTAGGGAAGTTTTAGATTCACCTCAATCATAAGCCTGCTATAGAAGCAATATAAGGCTGTTTTAGAAGACTCTGACAGGTTTGAATGAAAAGTTAAGTTGGAACACTATCCTTGGGAAGCCAAGTACTATCATCTGCATTGCTCTTTTTTACCAAACAAAGACCAGTTTTGGTCTCTTGAATACTTTTCCAACTTGCCACATCATCTGCCCATGCTGATGTTTACATTTACCATGCTGATGAGTCTGATGTGTAGAATTATGAGAACTTGATGAAGAAATCCCAAAGGAATATGCTAAATGCTTTGCATATGTGGCTCAAGCCAACCTACAGAGGTGAGATGAAATGCAATCATTGAAAAGAATTCCACTCTGGATATTTTGAGTTATAAAACATCACAAAGCAATAACATCAATAAGCATTAAACAAGGATCAGGCAGTTCCAAATTTGGATAGCTAATGTAGCAGAAAAGCCATCAAAAGTAGAGATGTTGGAGTAATGGTGGGGAATGGTAATCCCTCCCACCAAAAAATACAAAAACCATAAAAACCCAAATAACCAACCAACCAACCAACGCTACCAATAGCTTTATACACCATACACTTGCTTTAAGCTAAACTAGCTTTAGAATTCCAAGCTCTTCTCTCCATGCAGCAAAAATAAGAGTCTTGGTTTCTTGTGCTAAATGGAATTCCTTTATGCTTTTCTTTGCTCTCTCTTTGGATTGCCCAGTCCTTAAACCCCCCTTCAAAGCTTCAAAGGAAACGCATTTTGGGCTTGCATATCTGCCCTCTTCTTCTTTTTTTGTTCTTTATATATATCTCGTTTATCCATGAAGACCATCTTTGTCTCTCTCTCTCTCTCTCTCTCTCTCCCTACCCTCATTTCCTTTTTTTGTTTCTGTTCTTTTCATTTTCAAGAACTACAAGCCTTGAACAAAAGCTCTTTGCTCAAAATAAAAACCAAAAGAAAACTATTGTAAAAGGCAATCACCAGTAGAGTTTAAATTGAGACAAGACAAAGGCAGGTCTTGAGGAGGACGTGGACTGGTCATGGTCCAAGCTGAACATAAGCTAAGATACTCCAATATCATGGATCTCTGCTTTGAGAGCTGTATTAAAGTAAAAGAATTGAATGGAACGTTTGCTTTCCAAATCATCCTTCACCATCACATTTAACTTTAACAACTCCAACACAGGGTGACAGGGTGACAGTATGACAAGGTTTCTTGAACTATCACACAAAGGCATGTCATCAATGAGAAAACCAATAGGAGACTGTCACGCTTCAAGAAATCAATGGTGTGATGCATTTGAATTTAAAGCCTGAAAGCACAAAACTTCACATTTCAAGTAGACTGGCTTCAACATTAGCTTCCGTGATGATTTTATTCAATCTGTATGATAGCATTGTGTCACCCAATGAGTTCTGCACTTGGCAACCAGCAAAATGCAAATAGTTACACAGATCAGAGCATTGCCAAGAGCAATGCAAACTAGCCGGTGGCAGAGACTCGTCTTTGTTTAGATTGGGACTTCAAAACGGAAAATGAAACTAGAGGAAATAAGAAGAAACGGAAGGCTGATACATGATGCATGTAAAGTTGATGCTTGGCCAGAAGTTTACATGATCATCAGGATGAGTAAGCGAAAAAATGATAACGAATAAATAGCAGGCAACTGAAGAAATGCATTCAAGATAGTTTGCAAATATAATCTGTGAACAATAGCTCTTTCGACACTGGTTTATCATGCAGCAGAACTGCTGCTGTGAGAACCAAGATTATGTACAAAACATGAGAAAGAGATTAGTAAAGAAAATAGTGAACTTGTACAAGTATTTAAAATAATTCGATTACAGATACATGACAATCAGAAAGCTACAGCCTTCTGATTTTCCTCTACTGCTAGTAGCATAAACAGAAACAATACACTCAGATTTCCAGCTCCAACGTATCCTCTTCACCAAAATAGTACATGCCAGAATTGAGGAACACCGTATTATTGAATTGGCTCCTGATGGGGAGTCACTGCAGGTCCTGGAGCTATTGTGAACTGCAAGCCCCGGCGTTGCCCTGCCTGCAGCATAAATGCAACCTCAGTTGCCGCAAGTGCTGCTGCCTCCTGGCTCAACAGTAAGATACAAACAAATTAGCATGTGACTTTTTTTAAAAAAAAAAGAGGTCTGCATTTACCAACTGACATCAACAACCAACAAGTCATTCTAGATGGTAAGCATAAATGTGATGCTGCGAATCAGATGCACCAACACAGATAAAGAAAAAGAAAAGTGAAGCCCCATCTTCTAGGTAAACATATAGACAACATCCTTGGCAAAACAGTTCTTCAAAAAGACAATTAAAAAAATTCAGCATTCAACCATCTTCCAAGAGCAGAAAGCTTCTAGTAAATGGCAAACAAAAGTTGGTTGCAACATGATTCCTACATTCTTTCTGTGCAATATAAGAAGCATGCCAAACAGCAGGTGTTATCTCGTCTCATTAAGAAAATATAAGAAAAAAATTATTCTTGGGTTCCTTCAAAACACCCAGGAACTAACCTGTCTTTGCCTTCGACGTTGTAATATGCTGATGGCCCAAGCCATAATGTAGCATGGGAGAAGAAAACCAGCAGCCCGGAGCAAGAACAGCTGTTAACAATAGATCACTAGTTAGATGGAGCAAGAATCTGAAATGTTATGAGACACATCCAACATCCACGTGCCACTTACAGAAAAGAAGGTTGAAGCATCATCATCATCCCCATCTCCATTGGGGAGGGTCAAAGCATGCCTCAAGAGGAGGAGAGCCATTAACTGCCACGGAACAAGAGAAGGATTGACATTAAATTTTCTTATTCAACTGAGAGCAGACCATGCCAAGGTATTAAACTGGGAATGTACATAGGCAACAAGTTGCAGGGCCCAGAAAAGCATCTGCAACTAGTTACACCAATTCAGAATGACCAGAGAAAAAGGTATTAAGAAATAAAGAAGTAAATAAAAGATAAAGTTAACGATAGAGATTTCATTAAAGCTGGAAAACGGGGGGAAAAAACATTGAGCTAGGTTTTGCTTATTGTCTGATAGACCCATAAACTAAAATCATAAAGAAAATGAGAAGGAAATATGTCATTCCTACATGCCCTACTATTAAATCTTATAGAAAAAAAAATATAATTCCAACACATTATAAATGGCGGTTGCTAAGGCTTACAATTAGAGCAGCAGAGCGGCAAAAAGCTGCTCCACTAGCATTTGTATCAGCATACTCATCATATTCAGCCTCTAGAAAGTGACGTTCAGCCGCTGCCATTGCTAATAGTCGAGGATCACGCAAATCCAAAGGGGTACCAGAGATTGTCCAACCCTCACTGTCAGGCAAATCCAAGAAGCAAAACAACAAAACAACAAAACAACAAAACAGATGAGGGTCTTAAATACAACCTGTACAACATAACCTGACAAAATAGTAATACAAAGAGAACGATGGGCTTTCAGTGCTCAATATAATTAGAAAAGTCCTTAGAACAAATAGACATTCTCACATCCATCCAGATGTTAATTTTAAAGATAAAAAGATAAAAAGAATTTCCTCAATAACAACATGAACCAGGTTGCAAAGCATATGTGAATTTAAACTTGCCTGATGTCAATTGTGGTATCTTCAGACTGAGGCGGAGGTGGTGGGGCAGTATAACCAGGTTGGTATGGCTGTACATCCAAGAAACTTTGCATGAAAATTCACACAATGACTTTGCACTTGTGAGTGGATGAAATTCATATTAACCAATTGAAATGATCAAGAGGTTACCAGAAAATGCTCACATGATTTAATATATCACATGGATGCATCATTATAGTTAATTGATTTTAAAACCAAATATCTTCTCATGATGCAACATTGCATTTCATACTTCCCAAAACAGAAAAGGCATGCTTATGATGGCTTCTAAACTAAGAGACGTTGCTTGCTTATATGAATATAAGGAACATCTTTAATAATTATTAATCTCAAATATATAAATGAATCTAGCAGATTCTCCACCGAAAAACAATCATGAAACATGGCAATTGCAGATGCCAGGGATTCTAGAAACTTACCTGATGACAAATTTCACAAGTTATATCTCCCTTCTCATTGCACCATCGCTGGACACATTTTCTATGAGCAAACTGAATTGTAAAAAGAGAGAAAGAAATCACTGGCTTTGCCTTTAAATTCATAATATAGTCTAACAAGACACTGAAATTGCTTCACATATATGAAACTAGAAGAATAATAATGGCTTGCAGTAAAAGATTCATATAAAGATAGTGGATAGTGAAAAAGAAAAGAAAAAGAAAATAGAAAGAAGAAAACAGAAAGCTAAAATCTCTCAACAAAACCACATAACAAAAACACAAATAAAAAGGAATCAGCAGCACATGTCATGATATAATTTCAAGCCCATGAAGCTGATTTGAGCATAATAGCGGAGACTATCTACAGGGGTAGAAAATAATCTCTGAACTAAACATCAAGAAATAAGACATACTTTTAAGCTGCCACTGCAAGTACAGGGGACTTCCAAATTCTTAACGCTATCTTCTTCCTGGCAAATGCGACATTCAACCGTCTGAATCAGTGGCTCTTCTTCTTCAGATACAACCTTCTCCCCTACCCCCTTAACATCAATGGCGTGAGTGGGTAGCTCGGCCGATTGGGAGCATGAACCCTCTGAAGAAGATCCTGGGGCCTCATTCCCTTGCGGTGATTGCAAGCTTTCAGGTTTTGTGAAGCGGTCAACGCACAGCACCAGGTGATCACCCATTCTTACTCAAATTAAAGCTCCTGCATCAACAATATAGAAAGAAAATTCATTAACTCAAAACAATCTCCTTTAAAATTCAATAAAATGCACTAGTCAAATTTAAAGTTGTGAAATGTAAAGATAGTGATTCTGGGTTTCGTGATCAGGAAAAACAATGAAATAGTCCTGCAGATAAGTGCAGGAAAATACAAAATTGGATCTTAAATCCAAATTCTTTCAATATCTGGACCTAGAAGGAATGGCGAGGAGTTGACCCAGATTTAAGGTTTTAATTGGACTTCTCTACTATCTTCCTCAGTTTTACAAGCAGAAAGCAAAGCTTCAGAATTTCTATAACAGCTCCAATTTGAAGTTCCACTCAAAAGGTTTGAATTTCAAAATTGGCTTTCCCTTTTCTTTAACCACCTTTAGGTCACAAAGGAGCTCCTAAACTACAATAAAAAGGCATATAACCAAACATTAAAGCTTCAATATTTCCCAAACTACCCTGCATTCAAGCCATCTCAACTGCGTGTTTGGATGCTAAGAACAGGAAGGCCAAAGAAAAACTAAAGAAAATCAAGTGCCTAAGCCTAACATTGTATACAATTGAACCGATATGTCATATGATCAGTGCTTCACTGGCTCCAGCTAATTTACCCCGTACAACCTAAACAATAAGAAAACCAAGAAAACAGAATCTCCTCCGGTCTGAGCTACCAAACAAAACTCCTGTACTTGCCGAACCCCAAACTAAATCCCCAACCTTTCCCTAACCAAACCCATAAATTGACACCAAAATTTGACAAAAATTTACCAATACGATCAATCGGTGATACAAAACCCTAAAAGAACAAAAATTCACACCCACGATCGAAATGTAAGAACTTTATGATTTTCTACACCTAAAAATGAAGCATTTACAGCAGAAATGCAGTACGCAAATTGATTAAACAAATTTAGGAGAGAGAAAAATACACAAATCAGGAAAAGAACAAGGAAGAAAAGTACCTGGAAAAGACCTAGAATTTGAGCTTTAGAACTCTGAAATTGTTCTCTTGTGAAAAAGTCTTTTAACCTTTGCCTTTCCACCAAACGGATTTTTATTTGATTCAATTTGAAGGCATCAGGTTCGGCTTGGACGAGCCTAGTTATGCTAGGCTCGGTAACGCCCGTCCATACCTTATAAGAGATCGTCTGTGTTTTCTGTACCAAATGGAGAGTATTAGTTGAATCAAGACCGCTCCTGACCGTAACGTGGACGGTCCAGATCGAATGATTTGATTTAGCGCGTGTTTTAACAGTAACGGTCTTTAACGGACGTCAGAATGTCCGAGGATCGTCGGTTCGTTTGGATTTGTGACTGCATATGTAATGTAATAATAGTTTCGATTCTAACGGTGATCCAATAGGCTTCTGCCACCTCATGAAAACAATTCGTTAGAATCGAAACTATTATTACATTACAGAATATATATTTTTTTAAAAAATTGGTAGGGTCAGAAAGGAAAAATTATTTTGTGTAATTTGTGATATCTAGTCTCAAACACTCCAACCAATCTTATTTTATTAGCATTTTATCTTTGTTTTTTAAATTATTATTGCTTGCAAAATTGAGTATTTAAAATCCAAGTGGTGCCCCATTGAAATGTTGATGAACATGTGAATTGACTCTCCTAGAAGCACCATTCACTTGACCTTGCCCATGTTCAAAGAAGTGTCCAAGTCTTGTGCCTACCAAGCTCCTTTACCTTTTCTTGTCACTTCCAATCTCGTACCTACATAGCAAGATTAAAACATTAAAATTCGGCTTTTGATAAAACAATGCATCGATACATTGGACGTATTGCGTTATTGGACGATGCCTAGTGCACCAACCTATGTGTGAATAAATTATTTGTTTTGTCAAAACAATAATTTCCAATAAAATATTTAAGGGGAAATTTTCGAACGGAATATTAAATGAAAATACCAAAGAAGGTGAAGAAAAAAAAAAGTTACTCTTTTCTTATATGTTAAACTGTTAGTATATGCAAAGGTTTGCAGGCCAAAAACAAAACAAAAAGATGAAGGGGGTTTGTTGGAAGGGTGGCTTTTGGTAGAGTGGTTTTAATTAGTTGGTAAATCATTGATTTCATTGTAATCAAGGAACATGGAAGAAACTTATATGTTCGGCAACCATTAAAAGTTGTTCAAGTCACTTCGCATCAAAGGTAAGGTTTAAAGTAAATCCCGCAATTACTTGTAGACTAAATGCATTCGGTAGATAATTTTATACTCAACACTTAAACCTAAAAGGTATGGTTTAAAAAAGATGAAAATATAGATTTGCGCAAGTTAGCTAAGTAAACATTTTCGTCCATTTGCACCCAAGTTTCATTCTCATTCTCGTACATTAGAGTAGTTTAAAATATCACTTTGTAAAACAGCGATAATTAATTTGATATGTACTAGCATGTGCCAATTGGTTTTCTTCTTTTTTTTTTTTTTTTTTTTTTAAGAAATAAGAAAAGATAACATGAGTAGTTATATTCCATAAAAATAAGACCTATTATCTGATTTTGTTTTTAATTTTAATTTTTTTAATATGAAAAAAGTGAATCTACCATATTATTATCATTTAATTAATAATTTCAATTCTTAATATTTGAATTAACCAATGACATTTTTTGGTATTTTGAATATTTGGCAATTCTCTGTCTTCTGCTTTATATATATATAAGATATAGATAAATATAAAGCAAGATAAATTTCCGTGCAAAAGTGATATATATCACGATCCCATTTTTAATTTCTATTATCACGCCACATGAATACTACCAAATAAATATTTATACATCCCAAGCGATGATGATGATATTTTTTATTTTATTTTACAGAAACATAATAATCCCCCTACTACCAAAACACTAATAAATTCATTTTTTTTATGAGAAAAAGGGAAAGATAATAAAATAACCGGATTCGGTTCCGAAAAGAAAACCCGTTAGTGCTTGCTGAGTATATCCATATATATAAGGAGGCCCAAAACCTAGGGTTTAGCCTCACAAGCATACACAGATATACGATCATGGCAGAGAAGACAGTCTCTGAACTCGCCGAAACCAACTCGGAAACCGCCGCCGCTGCCGAGGATATGGAACTAGAAGCCTCAGAGCCCGCCCCGGCCGAAAAACCCGATGAGGGCACTAACGGCGAGGCTGAGGCGAACGCGAAACGGCTCAGGGATGAGGAGGGGAGTGAAGGAAACGACGCCGTGGCGAAGAAGACGAAGGTGGAGAAGTCGCCGGAAGAGGAGCGGTTGGAGAAGTTGGGGGAAGGAAAAGAGTCGGGTCGGGTCAGCTTGGGCCCGAAGAGTTTCGGGTCGTCCGTGGAGATGTTCGACTACTTCTACAAGTTGCTTCATTATTGGCCGACTGATCTCAGTGTTAATAAGGTACCCAAAGAAAGCTATTTATTTGCTCTTGATCCTCTGAGCTCTGTTTGCTTGTGCTGAAAGTTGTATTGAATTCAGATAGAATAAAAATTGGAACTTTTTCTCAATACATAACTGTATAATTAGCGTTATAATTTGGTGTCCCGTAGTTGTGGTGAATGTGGTTATGAGAATTTTGGTTTGGCTTGTGTCTTCTCTCCTGTTTGGTCGATCATGAACTGTTGGAAAGAAAACAAAAGGCAAAGAGTTTTCTTTTCTCAGAGTCTGAGACTTTTGCGGTTTTGGTAAATATTAATTGGTTGAAAATTGTTTTTTTGCTTTAATTTAATCAGTGAAGTTGGAGTTATTTGTTTGATCCTGGTGTTTGGCATATATTGATCAAAGGAGTCCTGGTGTTTCTACATTGGGTTTTCTAGAGATGGTATTGTTAATTCATATATTTAAAGATCTTATTTATGTGTGAATTCTCTAAGAATATGGTAGGAAACTCGATGGTGGGTAGTTCATGTTCAATTCATTACCTTAAAAGGAGCAAAATTTCATTCCTATGTTAATTGTCTGTCAACTCTCTTATATTTTTATTAGCCTTTGGAGGAATTGGAAGGGGAGAGTATAGGTATGTTGCATGAGAATATACCAAAAAAAGTTTGAAAGTTTCCCAATATCTGAAGATAGTTGCATGAAAAGGAAGATCCAAGTTCACCAGAAAATTCAGCATCCCTAATTTGTACAAAATACCTAGCAACCCTGCTCAATATCCCCTGTTCACAAATTCAATTATATTAAGGCAATGAGATTGGTTTTAGGAATTTTTAACTAGAAAAGAGATTGATTCTAGAAGACTTGTGTAAGTTGGCTGTGATCGTTTCATTCAGTGCTTTCGTATTGAGATTGCTGCTGCCCTGCAATATTTATCTCTTGTTATTTGATGACATATTTGACTGAATCTCTTGTTATGTTGCAGTATGAGCATCTGGTTTTGCTGGACTTGCTTAAGAAGGGTCATGCAGAGCCTGATAAGAAGATTGGTGGAGGGGTCCATGCTTTCCAAGTTCGAACCCATCCATTGTATAAAAGCAGGTGCTTCTTCCTCATTAGGGAAGATGAAGCTGTTGATGATTTTAGTTTCAGGAAGTGTGTGGATCAGATACTTCCCTTGCCAGAGAACATGAAAGCACACTCTGACGCCAATAAAGCCTTAGGTGGGAAAGGTGGCCGGGGTGGCGGCGGCGGAAGAGGAGGTTGGCGTGGCCGTGGAAGGGGTAAGCCGAGAAACTGAATTGTAGTCTCCAGGTTTTCCTTTGCTGGAGGTTTGAGTTTTAGCATAGGTTCAAAGAAGAAAAGTTATGGGCCTTGCCTTATATTCCTTCTATTTTATTGAGATAAAACAGTTGTATTTTCCAAATTTGATTGATAATGGTTTCTTCTGGTTTTTTCCTTTGCGTTTTATGTACTTGTGCACAAGGAAGAATTCGTTCCATTCTAATGCATAATTAAGGAACATTATAATTTCCAATTGCAACCTAAAACTTTTAACCAAAATATTGACAAAAGTATTGGCACTGTAAAATGCTATATCACCATTAATTCTTACTCATCATCATCAGCTAAAACTTGGCGTTAAGTAAGAAATATGATTTTTCAGGATTCGCTTGGCTGAGCTTTCTCCATGGAAACCCTATTTGTGGATTCTGCAATGATTACTACTGCAACTCTTCTCAGTGATTTTCCACCACTTGGAAAAGAATAAATTATTTTATTTTATTATTATTTTTAAAATAAAAAAACCGTAGCTTCTGAGTCTTTAAAAGACGAAATTATATTATGCATGCCATGGCAATAATTGGCCACCACTCATATACATTAACTAGATTACATGATATAGAAGAATAATTGGTCTGATTATAATTAGCTTAATTAATCAAAATATTTCTAACTGATCATTGATCATTACTTGGTAAATGATTATTTATCAGTACGTTACATGGCATCCGTATTAAAACCGAATGCACAATCTCAAAATGAACAACAAAAAACAAGTGGGCAGAAAATCTAGTGCCACAAAATAATCTCATTTTCAAACTTAAAACTACTGCCGCCAGCGAGTACATGTATCATGTATTACTTTTGACTAATTATCAAAATAATATTTACCCAAATTTTATCATGCTTAACATTGATTATGAGGATCGAAAGGATGATTAATACTTTGCTTGTACCAAACAAGAGACGATCTTAAAAATCATTACATTTGAGGTCATGTTTTCGAATTCTCCCTCTCACAAAATCATTACATTTGAGGCTTTAGGTGAACAAATGTGACAAGGAGCGATAATGATTGTGAATTGCTAGTAAGTCCAAGTTTTTAGTGCCCCATAGTAGATTACATAGATGTATGTAGATGATCCAAACTTGGCAAGGCATGCAGGCTAATGATCAAGAAGGAAAAGGATATAAAATTAATAATTGTGGGAAGGGAGAGAGGAGGTGTGGCGGCGCACGTTCATGTAGCCTCATGATCATGAAGCCCCTCCTAGTAAATGAGATATTATCCTTAATTAATACATCTTGTAACTCTCACTAAGCAATAATTAAGCGCAGACAGCCATTTTTATCCGTGTCCCTATATATCCACTACTGGTCTCTTCTTCTTCCTCATCTCTCTCTCTCTCTCTCTCTCTCTCTCTCTCTCTCTCTCTCTCTCTCTCTCTCTCTCTCTCTCTCTCTCTCTCTCTCTCTCTCTCAAACACAAAACACACATTGATTCGTATGTGAGTGCAGTCAAAATCAAATGGGTGGTCATTCACTTATGAGTTGGCTGGCCAACTATGATGTTGTTGAAGATCCATTTTGCTTCACAAACCAAATAGTTCCTCCTATGGATTATTTGAGGTGTGTGTTAATGATTTTTTATTTTCATTTTTTTTGGCATAATTTTAGCATGCATTGTTCAATATTGTGGATGTTAATTGATCATTGTTTGTTAGTGGAATGAACGGGTATGGTCCATTTGATTGGCAATACGAACGGACGCTCCCACTAGTACAAGACTCTTTTCTTGATGCTGTTCCTTTCATGGATCAAAGCTGTTTGAATATTGATCCTCTTTACTCTTCCCTTGATATTCAACCAATCCGAAGTGCGTTTCAAGGTGTGTGATTCTTTGTAAAGCACCATTCAATATGTACATATTTTAATTTTCAGCTTTTTCTGTAGTTAATTTTATTCTTTGTAAGCAGGTGATGAACTTGTTTTGGGAAATGGAAATTGGGTTTGTAATGATTTGTTCGGTGAATTAATAGAGCCTAGCAATAATCAACAAAAACAAATACAGCATCAACCTCCATTGCTGATGTGCAAGAATGAAGAAAATGGCAGTACTGAGAATGAGTTGGAGGAGACGAAGGTGATTAGTAAAAGGTCTCACCTTAGCACAAGGCTAAGATCATCAAACTCCACGTCGCTCAACTCATCAAAAATGTTGTCGAGGGAAACAATATCAAACTACTTCTACATGCCTATAACTCAGGCAGCCAAGGAACTCAATGTAGGTTTAACCCTTTTGAAGAAAAGGTGTAGGGAGTTGGGGATTCGCCGGTGGCCTCACCGGAAGCTGGCCAGCCTCCAAACCCTAATCAGAAACATTCAGGTTGGTTCAATAAAAATAACAACCTTACATATGCACAAAGTTGTAGAAATGACTTTTCACTTATAAACTCATAAATTGGCGTTACATGAAATTTATGTATATGTAGGATTTGGGAAAGGAGGGGGAGGAGAGTGAGGAGAAGCTTCGAAATGCAATAGAGTTGTTGGAGAGGGAGAGGAAGCTGCTGGAGGAAGTGCCCGACATGCAATTGGAGGATAATACCAAGCGATTGAGGCAAGCTTGTTTTAAGGCTAATTACAAGAAGAGAAAGATCATGGGGATGAATAATTTGGATCAATCACAATCCTCTTTCATCTGCAGCAACAATGAAATTCATGAATATGCAAGTATTATGGATGATGGTTATGAGGAAGATGAAGAAATCAAGTCTCTTTTATCTGACTCTTTTTCCTCATCAAATTCCAACATATGCCTGTTCTAGTTCTTCATTTGGCTGGGCCTTTTTTTTTTTTCTTTTTTTTTTTTTAAAGTATCTTATTTTCTTATGTTAATTTCTAAAATTTAACTCGTATTATTTATACTTTTTCTTTTATGATCTACAGAAGCTTAAGAGGCTTTCAAGTTTCAATGAGGCTCAAATAGGTAAATGTATGCGCAACCGTGCTGAATTAATGTGCGTCTCCTATCAAGCATATCCAAGTAGAATTAATATTCAAAAGGTATAACAATTATAAAGAAACCAAAAACTCCCAAAGTATTTACCCCAAACGCATAATTTGAAAAGGAGAAAAAAAACACACACACAAAACTACGACTATCAAGTTGTACAGGTCTCTGCAAGGAAGGAGATGCCTTCAAGAAGCTCCAAGTGCTTAAGATTTGGTAATGTAGGAACAGGGAATGCATATCTATACTGAAAGAAAGCCAAACACAGAGTAAGGAAACTCCATAAATTAATCCAACAAAAACATAAGTAAACCAACACATGATAATTACAAAATACATACTAACCTTTATGCCAATATTCAACATGAGAGTCTCTAGTTGAGAGAGACAACATGGAAATTGGGTGAAGGCATCACTCGTGAAATCAGCAATACTCTTGGAAATAGACCGGAAGCTCGAAAATGGATACCTCACCAAGTGACGGCACATTACTGAGATGCAAGTTTCTCTTGTATCCGGCATAAATAAATTACACAAGGTTTGCGTCACAAATCTCACTGTTTCTTAGGCCAAGACAATATCTTATCGATAAGTACTTGAATGAAACTGATGGACGGACAACTCTTAAATCAACCAAATTTATGGCACCAAGCACTGATAACCGTTTCGAGAACTGGACAATTAGACAAGAAGTACTCAACAACTCATCAACATTTTCCAAATGAAGAACCCTGAGGAACCCAAAACCATTGTATCCACAAGAGTGTGTCCTTGGAATGTCGCAACAAAAAGGCGTCAAAGAGGATCCCTTTTCCTTTTCAAGACCTAATAGTGTGCGGGGAGGAGTATAGGAATCTTCATAAATAACACCATAGTCTAGTAGAAAGTCCAACAGAAACACTCGAACTCTCTTTTCCATTGCAAACTGAATCCATTTATCAATGGAACTTGCAAAACGGCAATCTAGATCAAAGCAAACTCTGAATTGACGTATCTACAATTTTTTTGGTTTTTTAAATCCCGTTTAATAGCATGGAATTAGCGCAAAGTATCATCACCATCAAAATAGAGATTTGTAGTAAAGCACCACTCATAACGCCATCGCTTGGTTTGAACCAATCCGGTTTGTAGACTTTTTAGTCAACATAGTTTTTTTCCTTTTTTTTACGTCCGGTGCAACTCGGTTTTCCGGTTTTCTGATCTTGATGTCCACTCCTATTATTTATTAAGAAATTAAATTAAATATCAGACCATGCCGGGCTGCCCATGGGCTAAAAATCTTAGTCGTGGCCCTACCCTTTGCATAATGAGCCTGGCCGAACATATCCATGGTATCGAGTCCGGCCAGCCTATAACCTAAAACATAGGGCTGAATTTGGGTAGCCCATCGGGCCTGGCCTTATGTACATTCCTAATTGTAAGAATAGTTAAGGTTTCGACGCCATGGTGTAGTTCGAAAGTTGACATTAAATTTCACATATTTGTAATAAGCAAAGGGAACTAAAGAGCGAAAATATGAGAAGAGCAGCAGTCTCACGTCACCTAAGCTCACTCTCTTCTTCTCAGTCCCATCACCTCAACGTTCCTGTTTGCTTTACCGCCAACATCTCCCACACTCAAACCCCAAAACAATCCCTTCTTGACCTCATCAAATCATGCGCCAGAAGATCACATTTGCTCCAAATCCACGCCCACATCGTCCGAACATCACTTGTTCTGGAACCCATCATTTGCCTCCAGTTCTTGTCCCTCGTTGCACTTTCACCACTGAAGAGCATCTCCTATTCCAGCCGATTCTTCGATCAGATAGCAAAGCCGACTACTTTTCAGTACAACACCATGTTAAGAGCTTACTCAATCAGTGATTCACCAGAGGAGGGGTTTTCTATGTACCGAGATTTGCTACGGCGGGGCCTCCGTGCCGACGCCTTGGCATCGTCTTTTGTGATCAAATCTTGCATTAGAGTTTCGTCGTTGCTAGGAGGGATTCAGGTGCATGCTAGGATTTTGAGAGATGGCCATGAATCCGACAGTCGTTTGCTCACTACTTTGATGGACTTGTATTCAATTTGTGGCAAGTGTGATGAAGCATGCAAGTTGTTCGATGAGATGCCTAAGAGAGATGTTGTTGCTTGGAACGTGTTGATTTCTTGTTGTTTACATAATAACCGGACGAGGGATGCTGTGAGCTTGTTCGATATAATGCGGAGTGAAACTCATAGATGTGAACCCGATGAAGTTACGTGTTTACTTATGCTCCAAGCTTGTTCCAACTTGAACGCGTTGGAGTTTGGCGAACGGGTTCATAAGTACATTGAAGAACATGGTTATGATGGTGCTTCAAATCTGTGTAACTCTCTAATAGCGATGTATTCAAGGTGTGGGTGTTTGGATAAGGCTTATGAGGTGTTTAAGGGAATGAAGGATAAAAATGTGGTTTCGTGGAGTGCAATGATTTCTGGGTTGGCAGTGAATGGGTATGGTAGAGAAGCTATTGAAGCATTCGGAGAGATGCAGAGAATGGGTGTTTTACCAGATGATCAGACTTTTACTGGAGTTCTTTGTGCTTGCAGTCATTGCGGTTTGGTTGATGAAGGAATGGTGTTTTTTGATCGTATGAGCAAGGATTTTGGAGTAGTGCCTAATATCCATCACTATGGATGCCTGGTTGATCTTTTGGGTCGTGCTGGTCGACTTGATCAGGCCTATCAGCTCATACTGTCAATGGATATCAAACCGGATTCGACAATATGGAGGACCTTACTTGGGGGTTGCAGAATTCATGGCCATGACGCCCTTGCGGAAAGTGTTATAGGTCATTTGATTGAACTCAAGGCTCAAGAGGCAGGGGATTATGTTCTGTTGATGAATATTTACTCTTCAGCTGGGAACTGGGAGAAGCTAACAGAAGTGAGGAAATTTATGAAGGAAAAAGCAATTCAAACTACACCTGGCTGTAGCACAATTGAATTGAAAGGAGTTGCACACGAGTTTGTTGTGGATGATGTTTCGCACCCAAGGAAGGATGAAATCTACAAGATGCTGGATGAGATTAATGGCCAGCTGAAGATTGCTGGTTATGTTGCAGATGTATCATCTGAATTGCACAACTTGGGGACAGAAGAAAAGGGGCATGCACTCTCCTATCACAGCGAGAAATTAGCTATTGCTTTCGGTGTCCTAGCAACTCCACCTGGCACGCCAATCAGAGTGGCCAAGAATCTTCGGATATGTGTTGATTGCCATAATTTTGCAATGGCTCTCTCAGGGGTTTATAACAGAGAGGTAATTATACGAGACCGTACCCGGTTTCATCATTTCCGGGAGGGGCGCTGCTCGTGCAATGGCTATTGGTAGGAATATTCAAGATCTACATCATGTGAGCCAACTGGGAACATTTTCTGCAAATGAAATGCCTGGGCAGAAGCAACACTCTGGGTTGTTTAGATGGTAGTAGATACTTCTAGTGAAGTAATTATTAGTGCTCTGGCAGTGGCCGTCCTTTGGTTTGAAAGAGAAAATGTGGAAGGAAAGCTGTGAAAAGGCAGTTGTAGCAGCAATCTGTTTGGCTGATTGAGCACTGGTGCAGTTACTTGGTGTGCAGGGCAGGCAGCCACTATAAGAGATGAACAAAAGAGGATACTAAAAAGCTACGGTTCAGATAAGCTTTGTATGCATCCAGCGAATGGCCTGATTAATAAGTAGCAGATCTGATATAATTTGCTGAATTAGCTATTGGACGTCAAAAAGGAAAAATTTTTTTTTTTTTTTTTGGTGAAGAAAATTTGAGAATTTAAAACCTTTTGAGTTTCACTCCACTGGAATTTCTTGTTTTAAAGTAATCAGTGTTATAATTATCTCTCGTATTTGATCTGTGCTATAATTTCTTTTTCCAGGTAAAGGAAAAAGATGATCCTTGGTGCGCAAGCAAGCCATTAATCATCTATATAATTTAAAGAAACAAAAACAAGGATACAGTGTTCAATTTGGGACTTGAATTAGAGGAATTAGAAATGAAGAAATCAGTGCCACTGCAAGTGTGTTTCACTTTCATGAGGGTTCTGAAAGCAATGGCTCCTCCTACTCCTACAATTCCAACTTCAACAACTCTTGTTACCTATCCTCCTTAACTGCTCCCAAGAAGATTAATGGCTTCCAGCTCCAACGGTTAGGACATGGCCAAGAAGATCTCCATCTCCCCTACTTCCTCCTCCCTCTGTTCCTTTGGTGATTCCTGCCCTGATCTGTTTTTCCATGTGAAACCACTACGTCACCCACTCGAAGACAACACCATCCAGCAGCAGGCTGATTATAATCATTTTGCCCTTAACTAACTATCTGAAGCAACAGCTGCCTGTGGCCTGGTCCCACAGTCCCCCAACCACCCTCAAGCTCATCTTCAATAACCACCTCTATTATTCAACCTCCCTTCCCTTACCAGTTAGTTTTGGGGTTTGTATGACCTTCTCAACACTCTCTACCGGGTTCTAAGGCCAAGACGCTGCGGAGAGGCTCCACCATGACCAGGACTATAAGTTGTTACACGACCGGGTTATGGATCTCTTGGCGGAGGGGTTGAAGTCTGATATTGACTTATTGAAGCAGCAGCACAAGCTGGAACTGAAGCCAGATGAAGATGGTGACGAACTTGATGCTGATCTTTTGGTACCTAGGGCTGCAGCGTTTGTCATTAACGAAATCTCCGACCACCTCTCCGGGGCCATTTTGCTGCGTGAAAGCATTGCAAGGAGGCTTTTCCCACCGGAATCAGATCAATCAGAAGAGTGGGAACGGCTAAGGAAGGCTTTGGTTCCC